TACTTCTTGTATAATTTTTCTGCTGACAAATCTTATAGCTACTGCTTAGCTCTAAATTGCCATCCTGCTGTCTCTGAGGCCTGCCTTTTGTAACAGGCCCAAAACCCTCTGATTTTAAGGAATCCCACAGTAGTTTCTTTTTTTTTTTTTTGATTTAACAGCTCTCTTTTCCCATGCCTGCAATAGTTGTGCATGTGGTTTGGGTAGTATTTTGGGTTTGTGTGGCCAGGTTTTGGTAGCAGGGGGGCTACGGGGGTAGCTGTAGGTAACAACTTCTGTGAAAAGCTGCCAGAAGCTTCCCCTGTGTTGGGTAGAGCCAATGCCAGCTGGCTCCAAGATGGACATGCTGCTGGCCAAGGCTGAGCCAAACAGGAATGATACGAATGCCTCTATGATAGGAGAGAAAAGTTACTGTGCAGTTGCAGTGGTGGCCAGAGAGGAGCAGGGTGAGAACATGTCAGAGGAACTGCCCTGCAGACACCCAGGTCGGTGCAGAACAGGAGGAAGAGAGAAGGAGGTGCTTCAGGTGCCAGAGCTGAGATTCCCCTGCAGACCATGGTGAGGCCCCTGTGTAGCCCATGGAGGATCATGGGGATGCAAAGTTCTACCTGCAGCCCCTGGAGAACACCCACACCAGAGCCAGTGAATGCCTAAGAGAGGACTGTGAAGCCGTGGGAGGCCCATGCTGGAGCAGGGTCCTGCAGGGACCTGTACACTTGTGGAGAGAGGAGCCCATGCTGGAGCAGGTTTTCTGGTAGGACTTGTGGACCCACACAGGAACAGGCTGCTCTTGAAGAATGGCACTCTGTGAAAGAGTGAATCACACTGGAGAAGTTTGCAGAGAGCTGTCTCTGTGTGAGGGGCTCCACCCTGAAGCAAAGGAAGGACTCTTCTCCCTGAGCAGTGACAGAAACAATACATGATGAGCTGACCATAACCCTGATTCTCATCTCCCTTGAGAAAGTGGCTGGCTATAGGCATTACTTTTTATCTGTCTGGGTGTCTTGCATCTATATTTTGCAAAATACGTAGTTCTACTTGAAAATTTATTATTTTTGTAAATCGTTCTGTAGCATGCTCAAATCCTGGATGTCTTTTAATTGTACCCCAAGGCCCTTGACTCTTTTTGGAGAAGTTTCCACTTTGTGTTGGTTCAATCACCTTGCAGATAGGCATTACTGAACTTTATAGAAGAAGGTAGCAGATTTGGTGAGGGAACTTACTGTGACCCAGACATAAGCTCTGTTTATTATTTATATTAATATTGGTGGTTTGAGAGCAGGATGCCAAAGTATTTGTGGGGGAGATAAAAGGCATCTCCTGCAGTTCTGGCTGCCGTGTCTGGGCACAGCCATAGCTGGGGACCAGGTGCTGCAGCACTGTGTGATGCTGGCTGCCTCCCTCCATGGAGTGCCAGTCTCATGCCAGCTAAAAGCGGAGGATCAGAAATCAGGAGCTGTGTCCTTATGTGACACTGAGAGTCAAGCGGGGAGCAGGAGCAAAATTCAGGTTGCTGACAACACATATAATGTTTTAGGTGTCTTTTTTCCCTATAGTGGCTTTCAAAAGTATAGTTGTGGAAGCTTTTAAAAAGCATAAAATAAAGGGTGGTATCTGTCCCTCCCTAGTAAACTTGACTAATACCTTTGCCTTGTCAAAATGCTGAATATAACTCAAACCTTGAAATCTAGGAAATTATGAGATAAGGGCCAGCACAGATCTTAATATAATCTTTGTTATGCTAAGGAACTGATTATACCCATTGGTATAGTAGTATATTAATAATCATACATTAATATATTAGTATTTATAATAAGCAGGTATGAAAAATAGAGAAAGCATATTTTTGTTTGCATTTTTTGGCTTTTATTGTATGTGCTCTGGCTTCAAGTAGCTGGGAAATACTTTAACAAATGAAAGCATAGCTGTTAGCTCACAGCAAGTGCTGCCTTTGAGGAGCAAGTGTACCTGTATAAGGGTGGGATTTGTTAGTCTGCAATGTTAATAAAAAGCAAGGTTTCTTCTCACATGCATTGCCAGTGATGTGATGAGATGTGATGTGACAGTCAGTTGTTTGTGGGTGCAATGAGATGTCACAGAATGGAGGAATCCTCAGATCAAAGGGGGGGGATTTGTAACATTTGGTGCAGCTGAGAACATTTTAAAATGTACAGCAGCAACATCTGCTGTAGCTTGTTTGCTTTAGATGACTAACACAAAATTTGATGTGGCCCATGGTGACTGTGCTTTCTTCCTAGGGGGGCTGTAGTGTTGGTAACATAGAAAGAAAAGGTTCTCAAAGAAGGTTTCAACTGCACTCTGGGGCTTATATTACCTTAACCTCTTATTTCCAATTTAAATAGTGAGGATTTTGCTAGCCTTCACATTTCTGAAGGGTTTTCTCCTGCTTACTGTAAGGTCTTCTGTCACTTTGTACATTAATTACATTGAATAAATATTTTTTCGGTACTGTTGTGCAACAGATTTTCTTTATTAGGTCAAGGAAGGCATACGTGTAGGGGACTAGAAATATGACCTTCCCCTGTGAGTCAGGGGACCCAGATTTTAATTCCTTCAATATGAAAGACAAAAACAGGCAAACTGTTGAAATCAGAGTTAATTTTATATTCATCTACTACTCTGTCTCAGGCAGGGCCAGTACTGGTTGAATAAGGTATAAACAGCTCAGCAATGGTGCTTTGGTCTTTCCAGCTTTTTCCTGTCTGTCTCTTTATGTTAAGTAAAGCTTGATGTTCTATTCTTACATAAATTCTTTTAATGAGAGATCAGATCTGTCATGTCTCAGAAGATAGACTCCTTTCATACAATAAAAAGGGAAATATGTATGCGAGGCTGCAGCTGGTGGCGTTCAGAGACTGATCCCAGGCTGGCTTGGCAGCTGCTTCTGCCTCTTCAGACATGAGCTCAGGTCTCCATTGCTTCCTGGGGCATGGGGACTGCAAGTGAGTGATAAATCTAACAGAGTAAGCAATGCTGTGACTTCAGGAGAGGATTCATAGTTGAAAACTCTGAAAAACCAAAGATACCTTTCATAAGTTTGAAGGCAGTCCAGTACTACAGATACACCTTCCACTGACTACCACTTACCTCAGTATTTTTTGTGGAGCTTGTTGAAAGGAGCATTGTGGGAAGAGGTGAATCCCAGTGAGGTTCTGAAAGCTGCAGCCTCTCAGTCTCTGTGAGTTATGCTGTCAGTGGTTTACTTTCACTGTGTATGGTTCCATTTTCATTGAGGGAGGTGAAGACACTGCAGGGAAACACAGCCCATCCCACATACTAAACGTTGTCTGAAACAGTCTCAGATTCAATACACAAGTGCAACTCGGCCTCCCTGACCTGTGGTGGCTGTCCTGTGAGACTGCCTACAGCTTGGCTAGCATCAGATGCCCAGCTGCTGAGGACCCTTTCTTTTCTATTGCTTCACATCTCTTGGCACAGCTACAATTAAACCCTTAATAATGTTTTCATTACTGCTTTTCCAGTGAGAGACTGGGTGTGAGCAAATTGTAGAGTAAGCTGAGCCAGTAAAGGAATTCTGGAATACTTGAGGAATCATTCTTTTGAGAGAAGAGACCTGAGTTCCCTGGGATTTGCTGGGTCTGGAAGCACTTGATAATGTTAGCTTAAAGCCTTTCCTCCCCTGCAATACCCTGCTTTCTTCCTTTTGTCACACAACCTTCTCCTGCTATCTCTACAAAAAGGCTTTCATGCAATCTGGCCTGTCAGCTGTTGCTTTTGTGCATTGTGCTGGATCTGGGATAAAGCGTAAGCTCTTCAATTCTGATGCTGTACAGTGTGGCATGAATGCTGATGGTGCTCTGGTTAAGAATAAGACAACCAAGCAAATGTACAATTAACAGTAACTAAGCAGATGTGAGAACAGTGAGTTCCTAGAAGTAGTTGCATTTTTAAAGATCTTCCTTTTTTTGCCCCTTTCAAAGCTGCTCACCTTGGTATTTTCACTATCAAAAACTGCATGGTTAGGAAACAGACTTGTGTGTAGACCTCAGTATTACAAGATCTGTCTTCAGAAAGCCAATTAGTGCCTGAAGTAGAAGCTAATCTACTTCACAAGTGTAATTCTCATTCTTTGCCTTAAAATCAGCAGCAAGGAACCACACTGCTGAACATCACTTTGAGAAAGAGCGAGCACTGGTCTGTTTCTGTACATCTTTTCTATGCATTTCTATTTCTAGAGGTTTTCTCCACTAACCTAATGTGTGTCAGTGTGACCACTGTGTGAAGACAGAACAATCTGCTGCAGCAGAGCTCCTCCAGGGAGATAGCTTAATGAGGCCTAGGATGAGTTCTTAAGTAAAGGAGGTGAGAAGCTGTAGAAAAGAAGCATAGAAAAGAAAGATGTGACATCTTTGGAAAGGAATATTACTTATCTGGTAGATGGAAGCAATTCTACTACACATTGCAGGCATAAATAGAAAGCAATTCTATTGTGCATTGGGAGCCATAAGTTGAGCATCCGTCTTGATTACCATTTCTGTAATGAGCAATTAGAAATTAAACTCACATGGATCTCTAAAATACAGAACAAAAAAGCCCCACCCATTTTGTAATCACCATAGTGCTGACAGATTCATGCATAAGTTTGCTTGGGTTTTACCCAAAGCCCTCTTGGTTTATGAATGAATTAGCAAGGCAGTGTCGCACTGTGAATAAATGGAACATATCCTCTGTCTGCAGTTCTGTTTTCAACACTTTTTAGAACTTATTAGATATATCAGTTTGGGCACTCAGAATCTTTACTTGTAGCAGCATATGTATCTAATTTTGAGAAGGGCCAAAAACTGCAGTTATGGCACCATGTGATGTAAAAATTAAGATACTCCGGCTGTAATGAGCACACTGTCAAGTTCTATCAGCGTTTGGAAGCAGGGAGGAGGAGAAAATAGAAAATTAAGGGCCATCGAGCTGAGAACAAAAGTCAATGCATGGATTGACCTCTGTGTGTTCTTCATTGACAGGTTGATGACGCCTGGCAGTGAAATTCGGTTTGTCCACAAGCACATGGGCCTGGCGCCAGGCTGGGGAGGAGGTGCGCGGCTGGTGCGGATCGTGGGCAGCGGGGCCGCCCTGCAGCTGCTGGGCGGGGCTGCCCGGGTGGAGCCCGAGAGGGCGCGGAGCCTGGGGCTCTCCGAGGCGACGCTGGGGGCCGCCGAGGAAAGCGGAGCGCTGGCAGAGGCCCGCGCCTGGCTCGGGCAGTACACGGAGGGTCCGGCCGCTGTCATCCGGGCTGTGAAAAAGGTGGTGGCGGCAGGAAGAGAGCTCCCGCTGGAAGTTGCCCTAAGGACAGAAAAGGACATTTTTGGAACTGTATGGGGTGGGCCTGCCAATTTGCAGGCATTGGTTAGAAGACCAAAACATAAATGATGGTTTATGCATAAGAAATGGGCTTGACCTTTTTGCAAACAAAGCTTTCAGTAAAGCAGCCGTTAAGCTGAATCATTTAAGGTCTTGTCCGTTTAAAATGGCATTAACATTCCTGCCATTTAGGTCAGGCACGCATGTTTGGTGTGCAACTACAGAGAAATCCCGGGCAGATTCTCTACTGTCCTAATCACCCACTGAATCGAGATTAGTGAAATTACTATGTGAAGGTAAATACTATGCTGAAAATAGAACTATAATTCATTTGGAATGAGGCTGAAGATTATTTTATTTGGTGTTTTGGTTTTTTTTTAACTAGTATGGAAATTAATTACTTGAAAGATACGAGGTTTATTCATTTGTGGAACAGGTGCATCTAAAGCTGCAAAATATGAGTTCCCCAACATGAGACCAGTGGCCAGTTGGGGAACTCATTTTTTATCAAATATGCTCTTTAAGCAGCTTGGAAAAGATGATTACTAGTTGGAGGATAGCTTTCATTTTTTCATTCTAGTTAGTTCTTTGTGCAATTGCTGAGAAAGTATCCTTCAATTTTAATGATGCTTTTACAGGAGAAGTTTTGTTACTGAGAAGCTTTTAGCACTCATTCACTATCACTGATTCAGGCTTTTAAATGTATTTTGGTGTCTTCTCACTGCTCAAGGAATCAACTACCCACACATGCACCTGCACATTCCCATATCCTGTGCCTGTGCAAAGCTGCTGGCCTGATTCTTTACACAGAATCTAGTTGAAATCTTGGAAGGCTACAATGCATCGTGCCCCAAAAAGGTTTGCCCTTAGGTGACTGGGTGATGTGAGTACTTCAGCATTCTGGTAAGATGTGAGTGGACATGTCTGTCTTTCTTCAATGCCTTTTTACTGGTAAAGGTGTATTTGGGCTGACTAGAAGGTTTAAAACTCAAGTCTCCACTTCACGCCAGTGACTATGCAAGAAATTGGGTAACTCAGTGGGGAAAGTTTTCCCTTTAGAAATTAGAAACTGACAGAGAGTTCCTGCTTTAAAAATAAACATCTGTGAGAGCAAAACCATACAGACATATCTGTGGCTGAGTTTCCTGTACTGTTAGTTAAGATGCACTTGTCTCAAAATCCAGCAGGAACTGAGATCTGAGCCAAGGACCTAAGTACTCTGTGGGAGCATGTAAAGAAGGGAGCTCTGGGCCCTGTGCACTGATGTGCATTCTTGTTCTGACCAGGTGTAACTCGCTTAAGATCATGGAACAAGCTCCCTTAAGAAAAGAAGGCAGTACCTTGGATGGAAATCCACCTTACGATTTCTAGTGTGGCAGGAGTCCTGAGTTTTAGACAGTGAGGTAACTACATATGTTTGAGGACTTGGGGACAAGTCAATGCTGGGAATTAGGCTTGGATTGCCTGTTAAGATTCTGCAAGTTTTGAGCACATTCTGTGATCTCCTGGGGATATTTTACTGTGTGGTTTTCACAGCAATGAATATAGCCTGAAGCAACCAAGAGAAATGCTGAGGAAAGGGATGTGATTTGAGTTGGCATCTCAGAGAAGATAAGGAACTTGCCTCCACCCTGTTGATCCCACACCTTTACCTTAATATCTGAAGCACTAATGGAGGAAGATTTCAAATTTCTCTTCCCCAAAAATAAAGCTCAATTTTTTCATTCAGGTTAGAGAAGAGACAGGAATGTCAAGCTTCATCTCAGGGGTTTTTTTCCCATCTGAAATGGCTTAAAAACAAACAAGCACTAAATGCACAAAATAAATTAGAAACATCAAATTTGATAGTCCCATACTCTAATTAAATAGCATGCCAGCTTTTGTATTTCCTAGGGGCTAGTTTTCCAGCTTCCTCCTCAACAAACTAAGTTTCCTATTGCATTGTGAAATGTCTGTGTGGATTCTGTACCAAGCTTGTGAAGGTGTTGGATACTGGAGATCACTTTTAGCAATACAGATACTTCTGCCTTATTTGCTGCTGATAAAAATATATTTACCAGATGATCAGTCTAGATAAGCAAAGTGTTCTTGCAGAATGTTTGGTTCCCTATTTTTATTTTTTTTTTTTTAAGCCATGAAATAGGATTCCTGTATCTGTGGTTATCTGTTCTGGAAATCATGAAATGCTGTAGATTTGACAGTGTTCAAATTTTCTTTTTTATTTTCCGTTCTGGTCCCTTGTGCATTTTTCTGGCTATGCTGCACAAGTTGAACATCACTTAGTGCATGGAATTACAGTCAACCACATAACGCAATGTGGCTGTGGCTTTGCTAAAATGGACAGAGAATACATTTCCTACTGAAAGTAATGGTTTAAATATAAGATGGGAATTATCAGTTACTACTTTTCTCTAGCTTGATCTGGGGAGTGCAGTTTCTACTCTGGCTGGCTATTAAGGTCTCACCAGCCTTACTTTAACTAATTTTAGTGTTTCACAGCTGCAGTCAGCCAGCAGGAGCCAAAAGCAGCATCACAGGTGTGGGGCTGAACTCTCTACTTGGGTCAAAACCTCCAAGGATAATCACTGATAGAATTATTTGTAGATTGTTTGGGCTGTAAATCCTAAAATTAAGTATATATCATGTTCCTCTATTTTCTTTCTTGCTTTCCAACCCATAATCTCACATGAAGTGTGTGCACAAAGCTGAAGTGTTCTCAGTGAAGGCTTTTGCATCACAAACTCATGTTAGAACCACTGTATACTAACTCAAATTAGAGAAATAAAACAGCTAGCAACTAACAGAAAAAAGCATTCCATCCAGTTTCCTTCCTGAAGTCCATGTAATAGGTGTATTTCCTTATGGGACTGGAAGATGATCGTGAAAACCTGTGATCAAGAGCATTGATTCCTAGCTGAGAATGGAGGAAATCTTCCTTATTCCATCCTAGTCTCGTCTGCACTTTCCTGATCCAATGATCTCACCTGTAGGTAGCAGAAGATAGACACAACTTTTTACAAGATCAACCAATGTCAACCACCATTACAGTAAGAAAAACATAAAATATGTTTCAATCAACCATTTTTAAAAGTCAGCCTTTTTGATTCCCTTCAAATGGTTGTTTCCTTAAAACAACTTTTGTCTTAAGATCAATAGTGCCTATCAACTACTGTCCCTTTCTATTCTGAGATATATATACTAAGAATTGGAGTTTATTAGCTTTATTTTAAAATAAAGTCCAGAATCAACTAATGCTATTTCTCAATCTGAAAAAAAATGTTGAAGAACTGCCAGAGAGATAAAAGACAAGCTGTGTTTCTCAAGATCTAGCTTCTAACATCCAGAAGTCTGCTGAAATGCAGCTCCTACACTGCTAATACAAGCACAAAACTACTGTTTCTGTGGTGCCACTATAGTTTTGCTATGAACATACGAACAGCACTACAGTCCTTAATATCCATGTCCTTTGTTATAGGGTCAGCTTTGATAACTTACCCTCTTTTATCAACACTTCTCGTATTAAAATAAGGCTGTGTGTGATACTTCTGCTTGCCAGCAACAGTGAAGTGAGTTAATCAGCTCTTCAGATGCCTGTGTGAGTATTAAGCTTGCAACTCATGATTTTTCAGTAAAAGATGATACGCCTACAGCACCGTGTTTGAGAGACAGCCAGTCAGGGATGCAAGAATGTCAGGATGCCACTCAGAATTATTCCTCGCTTCTGGTAAACACGGAAAGCTGTTTTATGATAATTTTATTTTAAATTCCTTCAGTGAAGTTCAATTAAACTGGAAACATATCTGAGACTGTTACTGATAAAATGTAGTTTTATTAAATTATAAATTCTGTAACAAAAACAAGACAGATCAAGAAAGATCTCAAAAAACAAAACTACAAGGACTAGATGGCAAAGCCAGTGAAAAAGCCATGGAGAGTGTAAAGGTAAGGATTTGCAACACAAGTTAACAGCATTTTTACATTTCCATTGAAAGAAGGTAAATGATTGCTCTTGTCTAGTAAAAACACATTTTAACTCCAAACTCACATCTATTTTCTCACATTAAATTAAGCATCCTGCTCATACCCAACACCTTGCCTGATTCCACATAGCTTAAGTGTTCTTTTCATACATCAATCCATGCAGAAAGTAGTAAGACACTTAATGCAACAGTCAGATAATGAAGACAATTCAAGTTGTACAGTAGATATACATTGGCCAAAAAGGGATAGAGTATCTTCAAGGGGAAAATGCTACAAAAAAAACCACAAGACATTTTCAAGAAAACTGGGCATTGCTAAATAGCTTTTAAACCATTAACAGGACAACCCAGTTTCCTAGAGTTAAAGAGTCCTCCAGCTGAGACATGTTAAGAGACTTAAGTTAAAACAGGCCAAATCTGTTTTCTCCCCTTTACCCCACCCTCCCACCAAACACACTGCTAGGTTTGAGTGCAATGCCAATGCGGACAGAAAATTTACAGAAAATTACAACTGAATATTTTTTTCACATGGCTCTAGATTTAAACTTCAGTGACTGTGCACTGTCCATCTGGCCTTCTAGATCTTACACTTGTGTTTGCCACCCCACCCCCTGCCCCTGGTCTATCTGCTCCTGCCTGGCTTCCACCAGCACTCAAGTGTCTCTGCTGACCAGAGGATGGGTGTTGCTGAAAGTGGGCAGACACATCCTCACTGTCGCTGCTGGCATCCGATTCGGTCTCCTCAACAGAGGTGTCAGGGGCTGGCACCCTACCAGAAGATGATGATTCGTGGTCTTCTTCTCCCTCTCCCCTGTGACTCCTTTCAGCCATACTGTCTCCATTTATTTGCAAGTGGGCAAAAGAGTTCTCTAGAGAATTGCTTGTATCAGGTGATGGTGTTGAAGGGCTCACGAGCTGACCACCTAGTGCTGGTAGGGGCCTCACAGAAATGGATGCTAGAGGCTGCAAAGCTGCAGCCCCTGGAGTCAGTGTGCTGTCCGCACCATCAGCGGAGCTTTCTCGTGCCAGGCTGACAGTGTTGGTGTCACAGTCCAGCCTCAGCCCAGCCACTCCCTTCTTTGGTATATCTATTATGTCCCGTTTTATTTTTCTGCGACGCCCATGCTCGTTTCTCCTATACTGAACCATATTTTCAAGGTCTGCCACATATAAAAAACCAGCAATTAGCATTTCAGTGCTCTTTTTACCCTTGGAAAAGGCATCTTCCAGCTCTCTGCTGGTACGTTCATCATACTGCCACCAGCCATTTCTACCTTCATAGTACCAAGCGTATTCTCCATTGCCTCTGCTTGCTGCTTTGAGTTCTTCGGGTGACAATAAGGTTGGCTTGTCAAGAAAATCCTCAGGAATC